CTCAAAAACAATCAAAAATTCACAGATTTAACTCCAAATAGATGACAGTAGCATCCGATAATAGCTAATCTAATGAAGTAGCGTTATACTGAAGAGTAACAGTAAACTAACCGCATGCTCAGCATCATTAAACAATTTCTGGATATCTTTTTTGCTGGCATTACCGCTATCCACTTTCAGCTGTATCAAATAAGTCCACAAAAAACTAGAATCTCCAAATCGCTGCAATGCTCTTCTCACAATCCGCTCGCTCACTTCGTCATCACTTTCAAATTCCAGCAGTTTTTTATAATCGTCCACAGTGGCCAAATTCTTTTCATCCATCAATTTGTAAACATCATACAATTTCGCATTGGCGAATACATCTGCAAGACAATCACAAAATTGGTTGTTTGAAAAAAATTCTTTCCCTCAGAAATTAAGTTTTCGTCTCAAACACTACGATTACGAACCCAAAATATTGTGCAGCAAAAAAACGATTACATCTGAAAATTGAGAACAGTATAAATGTGAATAAAAATACAGTGGAGTATATCACTGACCAGATTTTCTTTTTTTTTCGAAAAATATTCCCCTTCAAATGCAGACGTGATGACTTTTGTTCCGTCAAACAATCTAGCATACAATGAATGATCACCGATAGATTCTCTTAGAAATGAACAACAAAATGTTCGACCACAAACCATCATTGGAGATTCTTTTTTCACACACATCGATGTAGTAACGGAACATCTTCAACGTCTCGAATCGTCTCACTGATTCATCCAGTATATCGAAAGCGTTCGCCTGAAAGACTCGCTCGCATTCCTCACTACCAATAAACAGAATGACCAAAAAAAGGAATGTCTCAGACCAATTTATTAACACAACACTTAAAACACAAACATCGCTCTACGCATATTAAATCAGAAAAAAAAACTCCTAAGTTTTGCTGCAATAACTTTTGAATAACTCACACTCACTGGCACTATCAGCACATTTCTAGTTTCTTGAAAGTGTTTCTTCGGATACAATTCAGCAATTCAAAAATGTTCAACCTTCCCTATTAACGCTGAAAACTGATAGTTACACATATTGCAAACGCATTTTTGATGAAGGTACCGCTTCTGTTCAATCATCTGAATAAATGTCACAATGTTGCATAAGTGCAACACAATATTCATTCAAAACTAACGTCGTTTGAATGTTTCTCATATTTCGCGATAAAACTTTCTTCACATAAGTTCGCATCGGTCCATAATTTCTCGTACAACATCACTTCGAGACGTTTCGATTGCTCACCAAATTCGTCGGCTACTCTCCATAACTCGAATAAAAGCTCTGAAAAAGAAAATTCATTCAGAATTCTCCACGTTAAGAACAGCCTAAACTTCCATGAAATTACAGCAAAGCTGTCATAAATCTACTTTGTGCATGTTATTGTCAGTAATGCGCAAATGTTGTATTACAATTATACACAGCAACAGATTCATAGAAAGATAAATGCGATTTAATCAATGTACTACAATTGATCAAAAACGTCCCAATTACCATTTTTGTTATGAATCTCAGGTGCATTGAGTGCTTGTTGTGCAACGAGTTCGGCTAGTTCCAGGTTCAGAACCGCATCTGAAGGTTCATCCTTATCTCGCTCACCATCTTCAGGTGATTCATGACCAGCTTCGTTTGCTTTTGCTCCAGATTCTTGTTCTGGCTTCGCTGAATCATTGCCACTCAGAACCTTCTTTCTTTCAAGCAATCTAAAGAAATATCTCTTTAAATCAGTTTTAAATCTGCAATGAATTCAAATCTGAATCTATTTAAATTTCACATCA